AGAAACAAAATAAATTACATTTATCTTGTCAGAATTTAGCATACCAAATAGAGTAAACATTATGGAAAATAGAATTGTAAATATGTATGAAGAGATTATTATTATTATTATTTTTGGATTAAAATCCAAATAGGGTCATAATTATAATGAAATAGAGAATTGACTATATATCTAATGATGCTCTTTAAAATGATTTGATTTTATTAGAGAGAAATTAACCAAGGAAGTCTCACTGATTTTACTACAACTTTGTGTATATATACATATGTATAATGTATATATATAATACATATATATGAAATATACAGTGTTATATTTTTTTTGTGTGTATATATATATATACACATATATATATACACACACACATATATATGAAATATATAAATACATATATAATCAATGTCTTTACCTTGTTCAAACTGCGTGCGGCACTGTCTTTTCCACCTGGGGTTAAGTTCCTGAGTTGTACATCAAGGAGGCCGACCAGCTGATCCATGGCACGGACAGAATAGGTGATGTCTCCAGCATTCAAATGATTTCTTGTTTGTTCAGCCAACTCTCGAGCAATGTTGGCAGCTGTCTCTCCAGATTTCAACTGCAATTTTGAAAACAGAATTAAGAAGGAAAGAGATCTTAAATAAGTAATTTTATTGGTCTCCATAGACTATTGTTTTGCATATAAGTTATAATCTTTGAGCCATGAAAAAATTATTAAACTCCATCTTCACCTAGAATACATTCCCCGAGTGTTCCTGCTAATCTATCTTTTTCTACAATACCTGACTTGAAATTCATGCCTTTTACTAAGCTCCTCCTGAGAAATCTCACTTCGAAAACTTGTTCTCACCTTAATTATCCATTTGGGTGGTTAAGTCTGTTTACCCTATGATTTTTCTCTGTGAGTTTCTAAATTGAATATTGATGAGTTTGCATTTGAATCCCCAACCATATTCTAAGTTCTAAGAGGCAAGCACAAATTTTCCATTGTGCCTAATTTAGTACTTAGTACACAATGAATACCTACCATCTGCTAGGCTATGTGAAAATTTTAAACCAAATAAAACCCCTGCTTTTCAAAGTGATCTTCATCTTCTTACCCACTAAATAAGAGATTTTGCTCCCAATGCACTAGTAGCAAACTATTGCTCTTTTTAGAATTTTCCTTTTCTGAAACGATATGCTGATCTTTCAGCATATTCAAGTATATTCTATAAGAATATTTCAAAATGTCAAAACTCCAAAGATGTTCAAAGAGATAAAAGCTAATACCTCATGATCACATGAGAATATTTGATAGCTCTGGGTGATAAGAAGGTAGAGATATCTTTTACTGTTACAACTTAAAATAGTGTCATTAAGAAGATTTCAAGCTGGCATATGAAGTTAGAAAATAATTTAGGAAATGCTTCTCTAAAGAAGAATGTTTAATCTGAGATGAAATGGAAAAGAAGGAATTGGGTTGGGATGAAGGTTGGGGGACCAGGCAGAGAGAACCACGTTTAGCAGGAAGGGGCGTGGAGTTTTAGGGAAACTGCACAAAGGGCATTGTAACTGGGGTTTAGGCAGCTGGAGAGCTGAGCAAGGAGCAGATTAAGTAGTCCCCCTTTGGATGATGAAGATTTTGGGAATTGTGCTAAGAGCAAGGGAAGGGACTGAAGTATCTAAACACGAGTGGTCTTATTGATTTATATTTGAAACCAAAGTCAGGAGAATGAATTAGAGGGTTCAGGAGTGAATGAAAGGAAACCTGCTGTGAGGCCATATCAGTAGAAGCTGTTGTGGATTAGGATAGCAGCAGTGGAACAAAGTAAAAAGTAGCCTGACTTAGAGATTCATAGATACACAAATAGGACTAATGTCTGGATGTGGGAAGGGAAGGAAAAGAAGGCACAGAGAGTAATGCCTAGGTTTCTTGTTTACATGACTCAATGGTGGTGACCTTAACTGGATTCTCCCATAGTCGCTGTGACCTCAATATTGATGGCTCAGGTAAAGGATGCCTTTCCAGACCAGATCTTCACTGACCATATTCTGTACAGTGGCATCCAGAAGCTACTACTCTGCTGTCTTTCTGATAACTCTATTTATTTCTCTCACCACATGGACAGTAATTATTTTATTTCCATATAAATATATACACAAACCTTTAATCTACCTTGTCTCCTATGCAAAGAAACAAGACTGAAATAAAGTTATTCTACATATCCTAGCTTACAGACCTCATTAAAATGTCTAGTTCTAACATTTCTTTTACTAAATTCTACTAAAATTATTCCTCAGAAATAAGCACATGCATACTGAGAAATCTTATGAGTTTTCAGAGGATTAGTAAATTAATGCCTGTATTGAAATGGTGAGATTATATCTAGAACTTGAATAGGTTAGGGGAAATCCTGCAGCATTAGTTAGGGATGATAATTATGACAGAAATGGATACTATTTACATTTCAAATTTTGAAACAGTAAAAATAATTTTCTCTGAAGTAAGCTTGACATTTTATGAGATTTATTACATCAAACATTAATCAGGTGCCAAGACAATTCACAAAGGAGTTACTCAGAGTGTTTGAGTATATGGCTAGTATTTCATTGAAAGATATCCCTATTTTGCTATAAATTTTAGTCAGGTAGGTATGTAAACAATTAAATGCTTCTATTTTACAATTTAAAGTAGGCTAAATAAGTCTAAAGTCTTGGAAACTCCATCAATCTCCAATAAATCAAGAAGCAATTTACTTTCATTTCATCTTATATCTATGGAGATTTAAAGAATGAGAAATTAAAATATAGGTGACAGAATTCAAAATAGTTTTCCAGGGCAAATAACTGGCTTATTTGACATTATAAAAAAGTTACAATATTTTCTAAGTTTCCACATCCTTCTTGTAAAAATGCAAGAAAAACCCTATTATCTCAAAAATCATGTAGCATGTGTACAAACAAAAGACACTTTAGTTTGCTAGAAATAGACTGTTCCCCTGGAACAATTCAGGCATTTCTTTTCCAAATAATAATTGGACCAGGTAATGAAGTAGAAAGCACATCTCACTTTAAATGTAAATAAATATAGAAGCTATTTAAAACTGTAATCTCAGAATTTTTAATAAAAAAAGACTGGAGAGATTATAAGGTGCAATAAACTCTTTAAAGGTATCTGAGATATAAATATAAACAAGTTTTTGAAAATTTGAGTTTAAGCCAGAGACTATAATTTTGGGAAGCAGACATTTAAAAAGGTGAGAAAATAGGATATTTTGCTATATATGTTTGAGAAGGCAGAGCTCTGAACTGATCACTTGGCTTTCAATAAAAACTGAAAAAATATTTTTAAAACATCAGTATGAAGACAGATCTACCTATTTTTCTATCCATCCATTTATTTTTGTACCTACTTTTCCTTCCATCTATCGATCCATTCATCCATCCATCCATCCGTACATCCGTCTATCCATCCACCTATCAATCTTTCTCTCTTCCTCTCTCTTCCTGCCCTTCTCCTCCTCTATTGTTATTAGGGTAAAGGTCTCTTTATGTACAACTTTTGCCTTTCCCTTTTTGTATCAATTATGTTTTTTTATTTAATCTCATCATTAAAGCATTCTGGATAGTTTGTAATAAATTTCTTCATGATATTCTAACTATTAAAGTTAGTGAAATGTAATCCATTGTCTATTACCGCACAAAATTTAATCTATAATTTTACAAGTATATAAGTGGCCTGGATTCATTTGTGAGTCAGAAACCATCAAGATTTTTTGACTGTTTTCCCCCTCTTGGCCTGACTGCAGAGGAAAGAGCATAGCTCATTTCTTAACAAAAATGAAAATACAAAGTTTGCTCTTTCCAACTAAAGTAAGCATCCTGTCCACTTATTTGTATAAACTTGCTGTCTACAATGCCTGACATACAGTGAATAAATCATATCGATAATGAAATGAATGGTCCTCCCCATGGTATAGATGTGGACTGTGATCCAGAGGTTTAAAGTCCTCAGGAATCTCCCAGAAGCACTATAAAGCCATAAAGGAGTTGCCTCACACTCTAGGGTACACTCATCCACAAACCCTTGAGGAGGGGAAACTGAACACACTGCTTAAATAAGAGAATCGCCCTCTCCTTTATTTTTTCATCAATGCTTTCACTGAGGGTAAAAAGTGTCCCTTTATAAAAGTCTGAAGTTAATAGAACTACAGTGGGGGAAGGAAGGGAAAAAAATGAATGATTAAAAGATACCTATTTCACTTTGATTTTTCTACATGGCATTAAAAAATCTATTATATTAGAAGTGGAGAGGTCAAAGCAGAAGAAAGGGGATGGGACAAGAAAAAGGAAGGAGAAAGGAAAGGGGCAATGGAGGGAAAAAGGAGAGGATGATGGGAAAGGTAGGAGGGGTGAGAGAAGGGGAGGGAAAAGCTGAGAACTATGTTGGGTACTTTCCATTGGCTAGTTCAAGGCCATTTTCCACCCTCCTCCATCTTGCCCTCTGACTTAGAAAGTAGACTCACATGACTGTTATTAAGAGCACTCATCTTTCTTGGCTTCTGTTTGGGTTTGGCCAATAGGGAGGTTGGGAAGGTGAAGAGGGAGGAGGGAGAGTGAGATTAGAATATTTATTCCCCTAAATCTCTTTCTCAAAAATTGCCTGAGGCTAGGCTGTGTCTCTCAGCTATAGGTCATCTTCCCTTTCCAGGACATTCTGCTTCCAGTTTTTCAGCACTCCTTCGATACAGCAACCATCACTGCAAACAAACCCTCTTTCAATGTGCCATCTGTTTGTTGTTGGGACTCTGCCATTGAGGGAGGAAATGAGCAAAGGTATGAATTCAGAGAAAGATGCTTTAGAGAAGAGGGAGAGAAAATATGGACAAACAACGCTGAACACTGTATACTAATTCTCTCTTGGAGGTTTACAATGTTAATATTTAAAAGTGTTGGAGTTTTGTCATAAAGAAACGTGTTCAACTACTATTTATATTCAATGAGAAGCATAAATATTTGGAGGTATGAGGGACACACTAGGTAAAAGGGTAGACAAAAGTGAAGAGACACTAGGTCAGTGACAGTGTACTATAAAGGTAATCATAATCTAGTCACAGTTTAATCAGCATTGTGGCTAAACACGATGTCCTGCTAAAGGCAGACCCAGCTAAAACGTCAGCTCTAACACTAACCTCGAGTTAGTTACAGAGGCCAATTTGTTGTGCTCTGAAGCCTCCTGTTACACTTTGAAGATTTTATAAATTTATAAGTAATAAAGCTAAGGTATTTATTATAAATTCCAATTGCCTAAATTCCATAATCTTAATATCCTTGTAATATAATTTTGTACACTCTACAGGAAAAAACAAATGTTCTGGAAGAACAGAACATATTTGTTCTAAAACCAAAGCATCCCATCTATAAATCAAATGGGCAACAACAGCTGTCTGGTCTTTGCAAGGAATTATCTCTTTTGTCATAAGATTAACAGGTCCCACAGAGGAAAGAAAGGAAATAAGCATCATTATCAGTTAAAGTCACCCAGGAATTTCTGCAATGAGATAGTCCAACTACATTCAGGAATCATCTTGAAAACTACTCAGCTTTCTAGGTGGATTATTACTGAATTAATATTAACCCCTGGGCTATATTGTGTAGGGAGTATTTTTTAAAAGTTGCTAATGTAAGGAGATATGCTTCTGATCTCAATCTGATAACATCCAGCAAGAGTTATTTGCCCTGGGTTCTGAGCTACATTGTAATAAAATAAAAGGACATAAAAACAGTGGCAGGAAGAGTGCTGAAATTGGAGAAGCATCATTATGAATAGTAACAAGTATGGGAATGCATATGTAAGAGGGAAACTAGAGTCAATATAACCACCGTTCTTCCATGATTTAGGGTAAATGGATAGTTATGGCTCATCTGCTAGATGATCTACTGGGTATATATTTATGGATTATTATACAGTATATTATTGAGGATCAGCCTGGTTAAAAACAAATAGAGAAAAGAGCAAATGGCAGAGACAGGCTTTTAGTAAGGCCATCATTTGTATATTTCTCAGGAAAAATCTCTTTCAGAAATTCCTTAGCATAGCTAATGTGCCATAGAAGAACTCTCCATTTTAGGAGTGCATAAATCCACACAAATTGCTATAATAAGGATTCATCCCATAGCCCTTTTGGCATAAATGCACATCTGGTCTCTGTTTGTAATGAAATCAATTCAAAGCCCCACAGTGCATTAATAATAAAAATGTTCAACATATTGCAACCAAATAAGCCCTGCAAATTTGAGTCTGCAAGATTCTGTCACAAATGTGCAGACTTTTAATACTGATAAATGATTAGGTCACAGAACATTTATCAAATGGCTTATGATTCTAAAGGTAGAATTTTTAAAATTATAATTATTATTTCCACAGGAAAATCCATATGTGTGTATGCTAGAAGCTTTTGCTTGCTTTATATATCTCTTGGACCTTCATATCTGTAGTTCACAACACCATATAACTATTATTATTAATGAAAATATTATAAGCAATATTACCTGGCCTAGAAGTTCATGGATTTGCCCTTTAAGAATAACAAATTCCAGAATTAGGTCATAGCATCTCAAAGGTTGTCATTAAATCTTAAATTAAAATGGGAGAACTGTTCCACATTAGTTTTTAAATTTTTTTTGACTCCTGTTTATAGCAGTTATAATCAACAACAGAGGATCTAAGTTTGGCAAAGCCTTCCTTGTCAGTCATGTGATTTACCTTTTGTGTTATATGGTTGACCCAAGGAGAAGAACAGTTGCTAAGATCTGGTCCTTGGGGATCCCAGATTCCATCAGGAGCCAGGCATAGATAAGTTGATACTCCTAAAATAATGAGAGAAAGAGGCCTGTTTCATATATTCAAATCATCTTTCTTACAAAGATTGCATATCCACATTATGTTTAAATACGAGCAAAGGCAAAAATTAGATCATTAAAAAGAGATAATGTCCATTAAAACACCATGTACAGTACCTGGCAAGCAACTGGCTTTGGAGAAACATAATACAAAAACAAAAAAACATTTAACATTTTTAAAGCACTTGCTAACAACTATGCCAGGTATAGGGAATAATTTCATGAATTAAATAGACGTAGTACCTGTCTCCATGGAGCTTATTGCTTGAAGTTTTCAGAAGCAAGGTAGCAACTGAGTTGTAAAGAAATCACTTTGCAGGTTTTTCAGGAAAACAATGTGAGAAAGGGCATTCTAGGCGGAGGAAACATATGCTGTCTTTGGGAAACTTTGAGTGTTTGGACTGAGGTCTACTGGATAGGGGAGGTGTTTTTAATGGAATTGGAAAGGTAGGCAAAACCAGATCATGAACTCCCTTGTCTGTCATGTGTGCGTGCTGGAAAATCAATGAAAAACATTAAGCGGATGAGAGAAATGAGCTTATTAAGGTTTTAGAAAGATAATTGTGGAAGCATCGTGGAATATGAATTTGGGGGAGCCACGCCGAGGTTGTGAGGAAGCTATTGCAATAATTTAAGTGGGAGACTGTAGGCCCCAACAGCAGCACAGCAGAGGAGACAGAGAAAGGTAAAAATAAGACTGAAGCGTATGGACAGTCACATGGGAGGGTTTCAGAAGGTTTCCTTTAAATCTCTTCCCAGTTTTTAAGAACAATAACGACTTATTTCTGAATGCTTTGTAGTTTAAAAAGTGCTTTCAGATAAAGTATTTCACTAGCCTTCACAACAAATGTCTAAAGGAGGGGGGCTGTAATTATCTCAATGAGAAGGGAACTGAGGCCTAGCACTCAGGGGACAGTGCTAAAGACTGAAGGTTTCAAACTGTTTTCTGATTCCATTACCATGGAAAATTTTAGAACTAAACATTGCTCCCCTTCACAAGAGGAAGGTAGATTTCTGAATAGTTTTAAACACTGTTGAAAAAAAAATTAAATGCGCACTTTTGTAAAAACCAACATACCTCTGGTCTTCCCATCACTTCATATATCATGGATTTCAGAATGAAATCCATTGGAACTTTTCTAAGAGAAACCTGCTTCCTTAGAGTAACCAAATCAATAACACTCGAAAAAAGAGTCCCTAAGGATACCAGCATAGTAATGTCTATTCTGTATTTGTTTTATTCACATATTTTATGAAATAATGGAGATGTTATTCATTGTATTAGGTAGTTTTATGAAAATCAATGTATGTAATAATAAAAAATCAAAATATTTCTGGTTTAAAAATTGTACATAATAATATGGTTACCACTTGTGGATATTATGAATCATATTTGTAAAAAAGGAGGGGCAAAGAGCTATTTAGTTCTTAACTATCCCTTAGTGAAAACAATGTAGGATTGCTCTCACTAGTGGATGCTGAGTAGGTAGGATGCTGGCATCTGATCCTGGACAATTATCATTCACATAGGAACCTTTGACTATTAAAGGACAGCTATTATGACTGGAAAAAAGAACATTTGTCTACTAACATGGAAGTCCTTAACCTCATTTTGTTCAATCAACATCTAAGGCTGGTGACAAACATGAGCACTGGCCCCCATCCATCCAGTGATCCTCTCTGGGCTGCTGCAAAGAAGAGCTGGTTCTCAGGACTAGTCAAGACATCTACAGCCTAACTGTAATTCCACTCAGAGACTACATGCCATTGGTAAAAAGTACTGATCTCATATGTATTCCCATCAAATTCTCACCATGACTTCTTCAGAATGCATTTTCAAACTCTGAAAATACATTGCTTTAAATTGTGACTTAGATGGATTCAGAATTTAATCAAATGTGAAGGAAAAAAAAAAAAAAAAAGATGCTAGAAAAGCAAGCCAAAGCAATCATACACGTTTAGCTTAGCTCTGTATGATATACTTACCTATAGTTCCCGTGGGGCATGGCTGTTTTGCCATCTGTCCTTGACGGGTCTTAAACCACATGATTTCTCGGGCTTCCACAGCATCACAGCTCTCTTCCAGAGCTGGGATTTGAGATGATGCTGATGGAAGGTGTGTGGTAATATCATCGAGCACTTCAACAGCTGGAGACGGGGTGCTAGTACTCCAGTTTTTTCTTCCTGACACTGATGGGGTGGTACTCCTGCCTGTACTCCCAGTTGTGGTCCGAAGGGTGGTACTGGTGGTGGTGCTTCCCATGCCAAGAGGTCCTGTAGTAGAAATTTCTGAAATAAAATTCAAAAGAAAACTCCTGCATTGCTTGTTCATGGTAGGACCTCGAGATGTCCTAATATTAAAAAAAAAAAAAAAAAAAGTTTGAAAATCCAGAGTCTTAAACATGGGAAAAATAAGCCAATACCAAGGTATCAGAGCGGCACTTGGGTGCCAAGACAGCCATTTGATCAATGCCAAACACAGGTTTGTTTATGGTTCTTCTCAACTCAAATCACAGAAAACAAAATTATAGCACATCTCAACATTTCGGTAAGCTACTTAATGCTTTCCTGCCTTTTATACAATTAGAGGATTAAAACTTAAAGCCATCTCCTTAGAATTTTTAAATGTGGTATAGAAAGGAAGAAAGCACATACAATATTCTTTTCACATAAGTATAACATGAGTTTCTAAGATGCAGCAAATAGAGGAGAGGCAAAAAAATCATCATTTAAAATGCTCATGAGCTAAAAAGTAAAATGCAATGATGAATACAGTCTCTTTAACATAGAGTAGCTTCATGGTCTACTCTGATGCCCTTAGAAATGACCCATCTTATCAAAACTTTCAAATTTAGTAGTGTAAAATATAAGTAGTTTCCAATTAGTTGTGTTCATAAACTATTTTCTAAGTAGATTATTTTTTAATAATGTACTCCAAATTCCAACTAAAAGTGATTAGGGTCAATGACCACATATGACAGGCAATTAAATCAATAATATAACCGAAAGAATATCCTAAACATACTATGGAAATAATCGCTGCAGAGAATCATCTTTCTGAGAATATATTCTTCATATTCCCATCCTAGGAATGCAAGTGTATACACATACATATACCGCATTCTTAACTGTAAGATTTGAAATTACTAGTCTTAACCTCACTTAGTGGCAATAAATCATAGGGGCATTGACTCTACCTGGATTCAAAGTAGCTCTCTGGTTTAAGGAACGGAAGGGAATCCTGTGGTGAATCTCCTAATGTTTGTTATTCATTGTCTGCTTTAACATGTCATCAACTTGACTCTGCTACCCCAGAAGAGGAGCCAAATCCATCACAGTATATTTGGTGTATAAAGCTTGCAAAAACACTGTAGATATGGCAGGCGGAAGGGGTGTGAATTTTCTGAACTAAGCTATTGAAATTGTACTATTTTCTGAAGTGATGCTCTTTGTTATTTGTCTTCTTACTTGTTCTGATTAATCTCCCTCTCTTCTCAGCTTTCCTCCTTTTCTCTCATGTTCCTTATGTGAATGATAATATTCATAAATACACTTATTCAAAATCAATACAAGAAAGCAGAGTATCTTTTTTTCCTTCTTCCATATACATCATCCATAATCCCCAAATTGCCAAGTTTTGTTGATCCTGCCTCACTCTTTTATTATTCTCTCTCCCCAATCACGATTATTTATGTTCAACCCACCACCATCAATGGATGAAAACAGAAGTTAACTTTTCTGCTAATGAAAGCAATGCCAGAGCAACATGCCAGTAGTGGTATTTCAATATCTATTTTTGCAAAATAAAAATTCAGGATCCATAAAATAAAGTTACTGACACTAAGCTTTTAACACAATTCAAATATAAAATTTAGCTACCTACTTTGAAATATTTAGTGTAAACAAATTTTAAAAATTATATATAGTAAAAATATTTCTTATATTTGTTTTTCTTTTAAAATGAGTGAAGTTTCAAAAAATACAATTAAGAAAATTTAATAATGACAACTTGAAATTTATTAATATGAAAATTAATAAAATAAATTAATATAAACTTAAATAATATTTTATTAAGTACTAGCCTTAAAAAAAGTGTCAATGATATTGTTGCTGGGATGAAGACATATTTTATGCAAATATTTTAGCTAATGGCAAAATTCTTTTTAATTTCATACTACTTGGTTCAGTAGTAAAACAATAGTTAAAAACTAACTCCAAGTATTTTCTCTGACTTCTTTAAATAATGCCATCTCTCATTTGTACTTTTGAAGGGACTATTTTGAGTAACTTAATTTTTTGAGGGGGACTCTAAATTTTTCATTGATAATGAGCTATAATTTTTGTTTCAAACAAAGCATTTCTAGTTCTCCTTTTTCTTTTGTTTGATCATGTAAAAATAGAGATTCGTAGCAGTTAGCAATATTAGTTAATCTCATATTCAAATTTACTTGTTTAGGAAGTTTTTGAACTAGAGTAAAATTTCATTTCAAAATAAAAGCTCTGTTTTCCAATGATCTTCCTCTTCTTGAGAATTATATAGGCACTGAAGAATACTTTCTAAATGGATGCATCTTCCTTCAGTCAGATATTTTAATTAGCACATAAAACTCTGGGAAGAAAAGAAACTTGTTCTACAATCATTTTTGCTCTGACAAAACTGCATAATCCCATATGAAGGGAAAGGATTCGTCTGCCTAGTATTGTCTCAATCACACAAATCATAGACAAGGAGCAAGGACAGCCTACCACAAAATTTTTGTTTGCTGTGACTTTGTATTTGCCAATTTTGAATAGAATATTCTTTAGAATAGAATGTGTGTATGTGTGTGTGTACGTGCACGTGCGTGTGTAAAATCATTGAGCTCTATTTAAATAATCTAGATTTCCAGATTTTAAAGACTGTAGTATCACACCAAAGTGTATTTAGCAATAGCACCACATAATAAAAATCAATGTTCTTTATTTTTCTCTAAAATTACCCTACTCAAACCATTCTCTATATTTTGCCAGAGGCATCTCATAAGTTATAAACTAGAATATGTTACTCTCCAGATTAAAATCCTTAAATGGTTTCTGCTGTCCTCCAAAGATTGGGCTCCTTTTCTTCATGCCTAAAGCCTTTCATGAGTTTACTTTTCCAGCTCATTTATAATGTTTCTTCATCTATTAACTCTACTCTTAAACCATATAAAGTTACCAGTAGTGTCCCAACTGCAACTTGTCCTTTCTGCCTTAGGGCTTTTGCATATGCTACAATGTTCTGCCCCATTCCTATCTGGTTAATCCCTATTCATTCTTTGGGGCTTAGCTTGGATGCCATCTCCATCAAGGAGCCTTTTCGAATTCACCAAGATGGGGTTCTATACTAACATGTGTTTTGTTCAAAGTAATTTCCTACCTTTAGTCTTGTGTCTGACCAAGAGTAAATAAGTTATCGGCCAAGATGGATGAACATAAGGGATAGGTCAAGAAAGCAGGAGAGGGTCTAGTTTTGAAATTTCACAAAAGAAGGGAAATAATAAATAGAGGGAAGTAGCAAATGGGGTGGCTAAGAGTCCCTACAGTTGATAGGCTGGAAAGGATATTTTATAAATACATTTCACTCTACATTAATAAAACCACCAGATGCCTTAAAGAGAAAATAAGCAGGAAGAACATTAAACCCCATCTCTTTCCCCAAAATGATTCTATCTTAGAACAATCACGTTTAAATTGACCATACTCTAATGAAGCAATACCAATTTAAATGATTTCTATAAAAGTTCAATTTGTTATGAAATACATAGCAAAGACTTCATTTAATACAGACATACTAACATTAAGGATTGGTGTAGAACATATTTTTTTGGAACTGTTCCACAGAGAGTTGTCTACAAGCAGGGTTACATCATTTTCATTGACTTGAAGCAGAATGAA